GGGGGGGGGGGGGGGGAACCCTGCTGGTAGACAGCTTCCGACCCACAGAAAGGGGACAATTTGGGAACCTCACTGCCCCATGTAGTAAAGGAGGCAGGACCCGTCTGGGACATTTGCAAATGGATCTCTTACTGTTGGAGTCCCGTCCCAGGACCCCATCCCTCATAGGAGGGCCTTTGCACGCAGCACTCCACACTTTGCTCACTGACAGGCCAGAATGAGGCCCAACAGAATGACCCCGTGGCTCGGATGTGTGGGGACACTCGGGAAATAATGGAGCCAGAAGGAAGACCACCACAGAGGCCAGGGAGCCTCCCCCTGCCCCTGGAAGCGAGGGGGCTGTGGGGGCCGAGCAGGACTCACACGGGAACTCTTTCCCATGCTGTCCACCTTCCTGAGAACGTTTCTCCTCTTCCCACTGCTAGTCTGGAGGCTGCAGAGATTTCAGAGAATCTTCTAGAGGCTCAGTGAGCCCTGCAGATAACTTTCCAGACCCCAGAAGCAGTCAAGCAGGTGCACACAGCCCGTGGTGGGGGCAGGGAGCTCCATAAGCCCCTCTCCAGTGGGGTCAGACCCACGATACCTTCGTGGCTCACCAGGTGTGCGTTCTGGAGACCGTGAGCATGACGAGGTGGGGCGTTGCCCCCGCGTGTTCCAGATGGCGTCGCCCACTTCCCTCACCGGCTTGCAAGGTCTTAACAGCTCTGGGCCCCTCTGGGCCCTGGGGTGAATAACCCCACCAGCACCTGTGCCCCGAGGCGGATGGTTACCCATCAAGCTGCTGTCTCTGTGGACAGGGGCTGCTGGAACCTGGGTCCCTTCCCTTCTCCGTCTCTGCCATTGTTAGGCCCAAGGTCCTGCTTTTCCAAGTCCCCTGAGGCCTGCGGCTTTTAAGGATGCAAAGCCCCTGTTCCCCATGCAGTCACTTGTGGGCCACTTGTCACACTGGGGAATCATGAGATCCACCAAAGTCCTGTTGTGGGGAGGTGACCTCCTCTGTGAGTCTTCTGTCCTCCTCACCTACCCCAGGTGACTTCGCAAAGCGGGAAGCCCGGTTCTGTCCCTGAACAACAGGCATGTCAACTCCCCCTGCAGATATATGTCCCCTGGACCCCAGAGCTAGAAGGACAATGACAGCTCATTGGATCCAGGAAGGCCACACAGAATGAAGAGCTCCAGAAGGAACTGCCTGCTCTCTCTGACCACTGGTCCTTAACGCTCTCCCATGGCCCCAGTCACGAGCTGTCTGGTCTCAGGAGTTCTTGGCCCATCTGGCTGCCATTTCCCTCCCTCCGCGACTCTCCATGGCTCACGTGTCTCCTGTCCTAACACTAACTCCTACCCTGCGTTCGTCTGCTGACCCTTCAAGTTGTGCGTCCAAGACGTTCGTCTCTTCAGGGCAGCATTTCTGGGTATCCATGTTCCCCCTTCCCCATCCACCGAGTGATGCTGCAGGAACTCACTCATGCATGGATATGGGCACCCCTCCCCCATCCATGGTGCAGGAACTCACTCATGCGTGGATACGGACACCCCTCCCCCAGCGATGGGGCAGAAACTCACTCATGCATGGATACCGGCACCCCTCCCCCATCCATGATGCAGGAACTCACTCATGCATGGATACGGGCACCCCTCCCCCAGCGACGGTGCAGGAACTCACTCATGCGTGGATACGGGCACCCCTCCCCCAGCGACGGTGCAGGAACTCACTCATGCGTGGATACGGGCACCCCTCCCCCAGTGACGGAGCAGGAACTCACGCCTTCATGGATACGGGCACCCCTCCCCCAGTGACGGTGCAGGAGCTCACTCATTCATGCACTGCACGCACTCCTATACTCATTCACGGATTCCCTCCTCCTTTGACTGAAGCATGCGTTCAGTTATTCCCTTCGCAACTCACTCACTCACTCACCGGCGGATAGGCTCGCTCACTGTTGCAT